TGCACTGAAATGACCTAACCTGGTATTTTCCGTGGAATTTTTCAGGAATGTATTTAAAGTCTTTAATCAAATTCCAGAGAAATTAGACTGAGCTGTATCAACTGTACCGTCTCTTCATAATTCTTTTCTAGACCAGTTTGTTCAAGAAATACTTAAGCAACAAATCTGCAAGAATGTATTTTGCATTAACAATGCAGTTCATTTTGCAGCTGTGCTGTCAAGCAATAGATATTGTTTTCTTAGAAAAGAAAACATTTGTGAACAAAAGAACGCTTAGTAGGGGAAAACTGTTTTTCATAGAGAAATCCAATAGAAGGAAAGTTTAAAAATCTTGGAACTTATATTCGATCTTAGTCACTACTATACCAATCATTTTAAAAGAAACAATTTGGACCTTTCAAAAATCCTGAAAGTATATTATCCTGGAAGTTCATGCCTGCTTCGATTCAAATTTTAATAGTCTTTATATCTAACACGGCATATTACTACAAAATATGCCATAATTTTCTTTAACGATTCTGTTAAAATATAGTTCAGGTAAAAAAAGCACACATAACATACTTTGTTGAAAAATAAATAGGGAATTACGATGTTCCCAGATTACTCTTCAGTTTTGCAACTGGAGAAGTATGACGCTAAGAATGTTGCAGAAGACTAAAATCTGCTTTCAAATAGTAGTTTTCATTGTAATTGGAGAAGCCTGCCATTTGTGAGAAAATTGCACCAGCTATTTTAAAATGACGTCATATAGTAGTTTTCAAAAATCCGGATAGTTTTCGAGCAATTTCTTTCAGAAGTGAAGGCAAATCGAAAAACATGTTTTCTTAATTCGCACGTCGACTGTTGCAGGCATCGTGTGCATGTGGTAAAAACAAAGTACTTAGAAAATAAACTATGAAGGCTTTTTCGGTCTTGAAATGAATATATACTACGTCTTGTGGACATATTAATAAAAACACAAAAAGACCCTTGGATTACTCAATAAAATTCTCTTATGTAATGGGAGGTTACTTATACGCTTCGAAAGTTAGCTTTTGGCTTAAAAAAATGAAACAAGGTAAACTTGTTTTTTTACAGGTAACAGTTTCGTGTAAGGTGAGTAAAAGCACTTAGGAAAGACGGGCAAAACAGGTATTCTTGGTGCCGTGATATCGTAGATGTATTTTGTACACTAGAGTCACTTAATCATAATTGAGTTCGAATATTTCCCTATTGTCATTGAACTAGTTAATTCCAACTATGCTAACGTGGTTGGCAGTTTCAGTGATGTTTCTTAGGATATAATAAATTGCTTAGCTTTAGACTTTTGGTAGCAACGCATTCTATGGGAACGCGTTTCCTCTGCGAGCCACTTTCGCCTGCACTGCTTCGCCCCCCCCCACGACGCCTTATCAACTCAATCCCATTTTCGGAGAGGGGGGCAGGCGGCGCCATGCCATGTATCGGCGGGTTGTTCGGTTTGAATTATACATGGGGATGTCTCACCACACAAGAGGGTGCCAGCGAAAGGGACAAGGCAAATGAGACGCGCCTTAAAATGCATGAATTTTGAGAGGGTTCTTTCAAGTTCATACGTTGTTGCGGGCAGCAACGCACCCTCTATGCTTGCATTGACTGCGAAGGTAATGAAAGTGATCGGCAACTGCATATAGAGAGATATTTCACTGGTTTGCGTGTTGTAAAAATTTTGCGTTACATTAATATAGTAATAAACAGAAAATTTTTGCGGATATTTAGTTCTCTTTAAGAATTTTGAATTTTCAAAATGTTTACCAAAAAATCCATACCACCTTTTTTTATCAAACTTTGTCTTCCGATAGCGTAAAGAACGCTTAGAAGATAAAGATTGTTTTCCTTAATGAAATGTGTTCCTGCAAGACGGAATTTGTCGTTGTATTTTTTTTTTTACATCCTAAATTTTTGGGATCGCTATTTTAATAAACATTTTTCTTTAATTTAACATTTATTTCAGTGTTTTACATAGCTTTGGATAACACTGTAAGAACATAAACAGAGAAAAACTATATTGAAATTTAAACTCTCCTACTGTACATTGCAAAAACAAATGATGTAATTAGCACGTACTTTGTCGCCCGCAGTTTCAAGCAAAATTTGTCGAAAAGTAGTGACATTTTCAACAAAGTCAACGATGTTTCAACGTTTTCGTATTTCAACGACGTTTTCAACGAAAATGAGACCTAGAACAATAAAATCCTGTGTACTATTCAACAACGAAATTTAATAAAAAACGATGGAGCCATTTGTTTGAAATATCTAAAGGAGCTTCAAGGAAAGTACACCCAAAATTCAAATACTGGTTTCAAATTCAAGAGATCGTTACATCATCCATAAAATGGCCCAAACGGTTTAGCTGGTAGCGTTGTTCATAGACTGACAGGCGTGTTGCCGAAATTCAATTTTTCGGTATCAAGGGCTCACAAATCAGAGATTCTGACTGCACCATGAGTCAGAGAATTGTTTCTAAATTTAGCAACAAGATTTATCCACTTTTTTGATCGTGTTTCTACTTTTCCATTCTTATAGGACCTGTTGGAAAAATTAATATCAGAACTCGCGCGTTGTAAAATGAAAATTTTCAATAGATACACTTTTATTCCCTCATTTCTCTCTCACAACTTGACACACGGTTAAGGTAATTTCTGATTCGGCTATAACTAAAGAAAAATAAAAAAAACAAGGAAAAATTTCATAAATCAAGTCCAACATTTCATGTAACTATGAAAAATATTACATTGCTGTACTTTTTCCAACAGCGCGAGTGCGTGAAGATTAAATGAGTTGCTGTTCAATTTTCCGAAGAGATGAGTAGTTTCCGAATAATTTTGCGCAAAATGTAAGCATTTTTTTTATCAAAAACCGCTCAACATTTTTGCTTTAAATTTTCTCTTCGTGTGTAATAAGAGACCATAAAAAATATAATGCTAGTCCTATTTTCGTCTATTGTTCCGTGTTTTTGAAAATGCCAAAAAGAAAACTTTTGAAAACTACAAAATTGGAGATAGATGTTTTTGCTTTAAGCAATGTCTATTAAAAAAATTGCTCTTTAAAAAATATCGGGTACAGTTTTTGAGAAAACAAGGTGATTTCGCATTATTAGTGCCTGAAGTTTATATAATTTCTAACAAATAAAGTTTTGTTAAGAACGCCATCAAATTTTATTATTAAAGTTTCCCCTCAAGTATAACAACGTAAGTAACAATAACATGATGCAAGAAGAATGTTAAAAGAGCAAAAATTGTTTCCCACGCCTATACTCGAACTAGGTCCTCCGAGTTAACTCGCCCTCACCCTCCGAGTTAACTCTCCGTCAACACAAGATTCGTGAAGCCCGAAATTTAGTCGACTCTTAAAATTGTTTATACACTAAACATTTTAACATTGTATAGTAGCAATTTTCGCCAATAGGGAGAATTTGCCAAAAATGAGACTAGCGCCATATTTTTATTTCTGGGCCTTTGCACAGGTACTTTGCAAGAAGAGAAAGTTTTGTAATGTAAAGACTGTTGAAAACATATTATTATTTCAAACATTGATGTTCATAATTGAAACATCGATCACAAATAATTGATATCTGTACAAGTAACCACTGAATTCACGCTGGCGGGTGATTTAATTGGAAAGTGGTCTCTTTTTTACATTCTCGTCCTTCCTCTTACGAGGTAGAAGTTGTTCTTATGAAGACAAAGTTATGTGATTGTTCTTCGGAAAACGGAAAATCTTCGGCAGAAAATTTCTTTTGACGGGCCTGGTAACGAAAATAAGGATAAATTTATTTGCTAAGTATAGAAAAAAATCTTCTAACACATGGTGTAGCCAGAATCTATGTTTGTGGGATCTTGGTACCGAAAAACTGATTGAAGGCAAAACAGCTGTGGTCAATTCTAACGCCTTAACCTTTCAGATGATTTTCTCCAAAATTGATATTCTCCGACTGATATGAATAAACTCGTGACTTTGAGAGTTTAGAGCGGCTTTGTAGATTTTTGAGTTTTTTTTACATGAAGAGAACAATTCCGTTTTTATGTGTCGGCTCTGCGTTCGAACCATACGGCGCTACTGTAACGTATAGGTATGAGGGATAAGTTTACTCTGAAGATTTGAGTTTGGGATTTGAGAGCGAAAAAATACTGTTGCTGTCTGATAACATGATTGCAGATTTATGTAATAGTATAACACAGTAAAGCAGGTAGAAATAATGTGAGACAGTATATGGTTTTGTAGTACTAATAATGTTTAGTCGAGATTTATCGGACAAAACGAAGTCATAAATCATTAATATAATTATAAAAACATTAATTCTAATTCTATAATTCAAACTCAAATCGATTTTATAACCTTTGTGAAATTGGTCGGAAGAATATTCATTTTGTGGGTATCTGGAAATTATTATAGAATTTAGTTATGATGGGACCTTTTTCATTTCATTTTAATTATCAACCACGTAAAAATATTGGATACACAATCTATGATAAAAAATCTTCGAGTTCAAAATATGTTAAAGACATGATTTTAAAATAAACATCAATATTTTGACAAAATGTTCTTACATTATCTTAGTGTAAATGTAATTTACTAGGGTCTCAAATTATCTTAAAAATTGACGGAAGCACCGACCAAAAATTTTTGTGTAGAGAGAAGAAGAAGAAGAGAAGAAGAAATTAAATAAGAAAATAAAGAAAGAAAAATAAAGTTGCCATATCTTATCATTTAATAGTATAAAAATGGTACGATGACTGTAAAAGAACTGAAGATAGATGGCATTATTGTCTTTAAATAAACCAATGAATCATTCCCATTACTCAATGATATACTTAGTATCTTTCCACTGTATTACTTGCGACACCCATTATAGCTTACTTTATGTTAGTTTCATGACCTCTTTGATTTACAGATTCATAAATTTCCATTTAGTGAAAGAAAGTATTTCATATAACACTCATACAATTTGAAGAAAGGTAGGAATAATGGATGCCAGAAAAGCCCATCTATATTTGTTTATTAATATCTCAGAATACATAACACCATAACACATCTACCTGTGCGATTATGCAAAAATTTTTGTGTAACATATGAATTAATACAATGTCTTCGGGCGCTTTTCAATCCATGCCTTGATGCGAGGAATGCAGTGAACCTTCTCCACCAGGCTGCTTAGAGTGGGGTAGTCTTTTGTAATGTCAAATTCAACAACAGTTGAGAAGTACTCCACGGAAGCAGCGAAGATTATGTCTGCATAAGAAAGCTGTTCCAAAAAGAAAAATAAAAAGCATTATTGTCTGTAAATAAACCAATGAATCATTTGTAATGAAACGTGAACTATACTCAGCAATGAATAGAGTGTATAAATTTTGAAAGATAGTTATTTTCGTAATGATCTCCCTAAGAAGTGCGAATCATGATTCAATGAGAATAAATGTCGTCACTGGAGCAGTTCAATCAATAAGGACTGAAACCTACGTGAGAAAACATTTTTAAGGTGCGAAAGAGATAATTATTTTTATTTTACCATTCACAAACTCAAAGATCCTCCTTTGCAAACTCACGTGTGCTTCCTGATTACAATTAGTGTGAGATTAGTTCATCTGAAAGTCTGTGTAATAATGTGCTCACACGGAAAATTCATGCAGTCGTACATAAATTTCCACACATTAAATTGCATAAAACCTTTACTACGAAATATACAGCATTTCCACAACCCAACGTTGTTGACTACGTTTACAACTTAAAAACGGGATTATCCGATGCCGTGGAGTGGAAATTATAGAACCTTATTATAATCCTAGTTCTTACGAGAAATTGTTGCAACATATAGAGTAAGCCACAATTTTCTTTTAAACAATTAACTTAATCCAAATGTAATCAATGTTAATTTTATCCGTTTAAATATTCCATTTGAATAATGAAATCATTAACTTATTCAGTCCTTCACCCTTATCAATTACACCGACTTTAGTTTTGCTCAGAGGCAGCTTTGCCTTCGCCTCTGCAGTGACTTTGATTGCAAGGTTCTAGGGTTCGACACTGGAAGATTTTCTATATTAACCAGACAGCTACTGTTTGGTCCGCTGCTCTAATCTGTAATTTTCTGATCAATACCACACAAATGCCGGAGCACTATCCTAACAAACAGGCCGCTGGCGAGCTTTCCCTCTCATTCCTCGTCCTATTCCCATCCCTTATTCACTCACACACACACACACACACACTAACGTGCACTACTCTACCACACATAAAGGGAGACCAGACGAGTGCTTGTGCAGATTGGGGCGCGTTCTGTTGAGGGAGAAGCGTAAAGGTCGGCGCCGGATCTCACCCAGCGAGCAAAAGCCACCACCCCCGGAGCCAAAATCTTCCTCTACACCAGCTACGCTAACGACCGCAGCAGTCGAGGCGCCGGGACACACAAATCTATTAATCTACAGACCAGGAGGGTGACGCCACGCGACAGTTCCTGCCGTACATCCCCCCTCCCAACCGTCGCACACACTCTAAGACTAAAAAATTGAATCTTCGTAGCCATTAGCCATATTTTGGTGCAATTTTGTTCACATATACATTAAAAGTTTTTTCTTCTCGCAGATTTTGAAGGAGGGGGAGAAAGGTTAACTCTCTAGTACACGCGCCCTTGTCTATACCCCACCTACACGCACGCTGTCTGAATGCCCGCGTTTCCCGAGAGACGAAAAGAAGCGGGCACTAGCACTTGTTTTTTTTGCGCATGAATCAGTACTCATCTCAATGCGACATCACGACATCACAAGGATATTACAAAACAGGTAATGAACGGTAGTTATAATCGGGATACGACTCAGGGCTACTGGACTGTTGACATGCGATCTTTCACATGCCACGTGTTTTCCCGCTTACTTCGTTGTGAAGGAAAACGTCTTGGAGTATCAGCACGCTTTTTTAATTTACTAATATTTAGTGAGAAATTTGACCTTCTAGAAGAACATGTCACATAATATATTTTATTCAGCTCAGAAAAAATATAGTATGTGACATGTTGGTTTAGAAGAAAAACCAGTTTTTCTATTGTGTCAAAAAATAACAAAGGATTTAAGAGATTGTGTACAAAAATAAAAGGATAAAATTACTAATTTTTGTAGTAATGTGAATTTAAAATATACATATAAAGAAAACAATTTCACAGAAAAGCATACCGAAACAATAACCACATTCGTCGGTACCGCCGATTCGAAAAGTTTACATCCACCATTAATGCAAGACCTTGATCTGCAACTACTCGCTAAGCACTTTCTAATCTTCGTAATTGTGCTAGCCCTATTGGGCGATGATATAAGTTCTTTAAGCATTGATGTTGAATCTATTTTACCGTCATGTTTAGCCCTTTCACCACATGCATTTAAAGGTTTTATTTGACGGCCAGATTTGGATGTAGGTACGTATATCTAATTTGGTGACCTCGAAAGAGATTATAGTAAAAATGAAATATTTTCATTCAGCGAAGATGAAAAAGATTCCAAAAATCATTGACCATGCATTTTTAGACACTCCCATTTGGTAATGTGGCATAAATTACTAATCATCTGTTTAATGTTCTTTAAGGCAGTTTCCTAATATTCAATTTCTTACATTTCTGGAACAATATGCGCGAAAATATCATTAAACTTCCAATTCTTCAAGTTCTTGACCCATTTTTCAAAAAGAGTATTCCGGGAAAATGAGACCGCCATTTTGTTAAGAGTAAATAAAAATTAGTGTGCAGATTTGCGCAACTGTTTTTGATTACTCGAAGTGGCATTAGGTGAAATATTATATTCAAACCTTTTCCAACATTCAAAACATTCAAATCCATGTCATATTCTCAGTATTTTTCTACGAGTAGATACAGACTAATAATGAATCATAAAAACTGTCACTAGCAAGGAAAACACATGCAATTTCTTATCTAATTACAAATCAGACTATCAGCAGCACTTACGAGGCACAAACTGCGAGCAAGAACGAAGCTCGGAAGCGCAGTTTTGGGACTGAGCGCGGCCGTGGGAAGTTCGAGCAAGTTCAGACAAACATCACCGCTCTCCTGCTGGATTTGTCGGAAACATCGACATTGTCGGATTCTATGAACATTCTACTATTGATATATGTTAAAAAATATCGCTTTGGATTACTTGAAAAAATCAATGTTGTCCACCTAGATCGCTTAAATTTACCACTGTGCGTCATATGTTGTCGGGTAAAGGGCCAGTATTTTGCATCTCAGGCTGCCTAACGCGCTTGACTCAGGCCATCACTGTCCGGAAAATGTCGGGGCCACGTCGGCCTTACCCCCTCCTTTATACCGGACTGAGCGGCGCGCCACGCCCCCTTTACGAATAGTCCCTTCGCACAACTGAGCTCGCAGCATTGCGCGAAGCCCCCGTTGCACGCCTCTGCGGTGGCTACGATACTTCTGTTTGGGCAGATCACTAATATTGGTGGAGGGTAATTATTTCAAGATCTTTATGCCCTAAATTTACTTTTCATTCAGTCTTTGACATCCTATAATTTTTGTGACCCAAAACCCTAAGCTAAATTTTTTCTTTAGTCTTAGAAGCGTAATATTCTCCAACACACCCTTCTTTATGAGTGTTTTATGACTGTAATCAAAGTTTTGAAGTAAAATAATAATAATAAGCAAATAATTTCTATTTTTAAGCGATTCAAGAGTGACTCGCTAAATTAGGGCTTAAATATGTTTTAATTATTCTATTTTTAAAGCGTATTCTTTATTTTGCCAAGTGTTATTCTGTGAGAGGTAAATTTAATACTTGTGTGGAATGTTGAAGATTTCCCATGCATTTTTTCTTAAAATACCCTACGAGTCTGCTTAAGAATTATAATTTACCTTCCCGTTAACAAAATAACCCTTGTTTTCTTTGGCAACTTTTTCGAGTCGCGAAAGGTTGTAAGGCAAAGTCTCGTTCACCAAAGTCTCCTTCTTCTTCGGTTTGTCGGCAGGAGCGGTGGCCCATCCATACTCGTTGATCGCTGCACAATACAACATATTTTCGTTAAACATCGCAATAGAGTCAGTTATTTCGAAATGTCCACATTTTCATTACAGCTAATGTTTGGCATACGCGCAATTAAATATGATACATCTCGGGAGACGCGACGTATTCGAAAGGAAAAGAAGGCCACTTATCACTTCGAGTTTTCCACATGTAACAAAGTTACATGCATGTAACGAATCCAATGCTTTATGTTTAATGTTTGCAAAGGCTGAGGATGTGGTCTTTTCAAAACAACTTCCTAATAAAGATATTTTTCTTGTTCGAATTGCTTCAATAATAAACATTTATACACTGTATTTTTAGTTTAACTGTTTCGTTTTGAACCCTTGTGTTTGTCATATTTTAACTGATTGACTGTTTTTCGTTTTTAATTGGTACTAGCGTCAAAGAATAGCAAACATTTTCTGTTTTCAAGTGTTTCCAAACCATTTTAGAAAACGTTTAGTTCATATAAGTTCATGTTAATGTTCTTATTAAATTATCTTATTAAAATGTTAATTAAAAAGAAATCAGAATGAATGGATGTCTAAGGCAGTTTAAGAGGCAGACCCATATTTTCGTCCCTGTAGATTAAATTTTATAACTTTTAAATTATTTTAATGAGCATTTCTCTGATTAATACTTAAAGCCAAACAAAAGCTTAAATAATATATTGGGCGAAGTACATAGCAAAAACGTTTACTAGTAGAAACTCACCAACTTTGATGTCAGTCAGCACGTCGGCAATCGCGTCGATTGCCAGCGCCTCCCAGTCGTTGTCTCCTGCTAGGCCCGCTTGCTTTGCCAAATAGCGGGCAATGGCCACTGACTGGTACACAGTCTTCCCGTTTATCTCAAGGATTGGAACCTTGCCAAAGGGTGTGGCTGTACAAGAACAGCAACGAAGTGATGGAGATTAATTAATATTATTTGACAATTCATACAATTTTTAAAAAAAATATTAGAAGCTCTATACATTGCAATATAGAGGAGGTTCAACTAAGAGCTAGCCATAATAACAGAGAAGTGATGGTAAAATCAGAAGCCGGCAAAATCTGTTCTTGGAAAATAAATATTTAAATTATATGTACAATTGCTTCAAAACTTAAGTTGTTGTGAAGTAATTTTGCGTGAAATAAAGGCATTTATAAAACAAAGATTTCGTCAAAAACGGCTCCATATTTTAAATCTTTTTGGATGGAAAGTGCTAAGTGCAGTGAATAACACGACATAAATACCATTTTGTTGTATTCTTTTGATTTTTCAAAAATGACACGAATGTATTTTTTTTACATTTTCCTTGTATAATTCATATTTATACTAAGGGCGTTTTATACATTATTGAATTTGCGAGTGTAAGAGTTTTAAGTGATTGTTGATGAAGTTTCTGAAAATTTCAAAAGTTTCTGCGAAAATTAGCTTAACATTGCCAACATTTTTTTATAAGCTCAAAATGTCAAAAAGGCTCATTTTCAGAAAGTCTTGAACGAATTTTGTTTCAAAAACCACTTCGTAATTCTTTATTATTTTTTGTATGGAGAGAACTAATTAATTAAGATCACAATTTCTCTCTAAAATTTATCACAATATTGGGCATTTTTAGAAACGCTCAAACGACATTTAATCACAAACACCTCTAAATTGTTTAATGAAAATTGAATGTAGGACTTCATTCTTTTATTATTTCATTCTTCTGTAATATTACTAAACGCATGTTTCAATTCTACTATTAAGAGTCCCAACAGTTAAGAGAATGAGGGAAAATATTACAAGGGCCGTTAGATAGAAGCTGGGAAGAGCGAGTGGGCATTGATTGTCTGGCTATCCGCCTCACTGACATGGTGGCTAACGTTTCGGCCAGCGTATTGTGACCTTCTGCAGAGCCAGCTGTACGCTCTGAAGAAGGCCACAATACGCTGACCGAAACGTTAGCCACCATGTCAGTGACGCCGCTCGTCCCGGATAGCCTAGGCGACGGAGTGGGCATTACCGTAAAGCTAACTTCACTCTAGTAAAGCGATTAGAAAACTAACTAGTGCGAAACAGTCTACACCATGTTCTTTAACACCACTAGTATATATTTAAATATTTTACAGTTAATTTAATTGATATACAAAATTATTAACAGTTTTATTATATTGACTATAGGAGTTGTAACATATTGCTGGTTGAAAATTAAGAGAAATAAAAATCATATCTACTACCGCGGCCTCCGTAGCCTATTTGCTTTAGCACGCTTCCAGAAGTCACGAAGGTTAAGCAACTTGAGACAACGTGGGTTACTGGATTAGTAACTGTCTGGGATTTCCTAGGGAGTAACGGTGCCGAGCTTCTGGCCGAAGTAATAAAAGCCATGTCTATCAACATTATATGCTAGTAAGTTTCCGTAAAATCATACAAAAAGTAAAAAAGTATAGAATTTTCTTGAGTTTCGGTCAGGAAAAGTTTAAATTGCCAACGTTTCGGCGTTTAGGGAAACGACAAATAGATTTTATTATTCTCTATGTGCAATAAATTGATACTCATCGAATATAACACAATTGTGAATAATTATGTACAAATGTTTTGTATAATTACGTACCATTTTTACTCCGGATCTCTCTCTGTCCTATCCACCGTTTTAACGCCCTGCTTCCCGTACGTCCCTTCCTGCACTTCCTGTCTTTCATTCCCACACATTACTTTCGTATAGCTTGGCACTCCAGTTGTCTCATCCTTACAAGTCCTCTCTGTAGTCTCTCCCATTGTCTAAGCTACCTGCTACGTCATACCACTTCCTTTTCCTAACAAAATATTGTTAATTTTTGACGTCTTTTTAACATTGCCATGGCCAAAATAACCCCGAAAATACACACCAAAATCTGGCAATGTAAATTAGGTTTATTAATGACCGATACTCAACAAATATTCAAACTATTAATCAATGCGGTCACAAAATAGAGCACGTTCTAAAAAGTAAAGTACACGACTTGTACGACAGTCATTAGTGTCCTTATTTTAGAATGCCGAATTTGACCCCTATTGTTGCCTCGTAGCTCAACATTTTATTCCTACACCAAATATTCACTTTCTCTGCTAAATAAATAACCGTTTTCCCTCAATCATAGTTTCAATTGCAGAAATAAATGTAGTACTTACTAGGTTTTACTTGGGCCAGTCTTCATGAGTAATTCTGTGATCCTCGTATTCGATATTTGCGTACGCCAAGAGGTACCGAATGCATTCAGCTGCACCGCGGCCATCGAAATAAGTAAGCTTCGCTTTCGGGGCCATGGCCAAGGAAGCACTGTGCCTTCGTCCCGTGAGCGGTTATCTCCAGGCAGCTTTTAAAATCTCACTGGTGGCGTTTTCTAGTTAAGACCTTGATAAGGAGCATGGCACTATGACATTCATGGGTTATGCAAGAATGAGTACATCAGAAAATGTTTGCACAGGTTTCCTTCTTAATAACGAGATTTCATTTAAGATAAGAGAGGTTCTTATTTTTCCCTGACAAACACAGGTGGAAGGGACACCATGTGTTACGTCAATTTATTATAAATGATGTTCACAATGATTCAGTTTATTATTCACGAAAATAGATATTGCTACGCTAGTTTTCTGTGCATTATACTCAAACAAGATTCTGGAAGTTGCTTTAGTCTGAAAAAGCATTTAGAGAAGAAATATTGAAGGAAAAAATCTTAACACTCTTATTTGTAACTTTTGTTAATTATGAATGTGATTTTAAACAGTCAAGCCATATATTGTTCAAATTGCTTGATTGATTAGTTATTCCGGGAACCTCAACTCACAAGGTCATTATTTCCGTAAGTGTAGTGCATGCTTTTATCTCGGAAGAGGGCAGTGATCTTCTCACGTGGGATGGTGAGATTCGGCGAGACCTACTTCTCAGCTTAAGGGTTTTCCCCAACCAGATATCTCCCACCAGTGGAGCATCGCTCCAAGTGGGACAAGCTCTAGGCTCTAGGCTCGTATCTCTCGGGATGTGTGGTAGTGTAGTGCATGTTAGTGTGTGTGTAAGGGGTGTGGATACGAGAAGGAAGAGGAAGGTGACATTGCGCGTTGTCTATGGCTTCATTATTACGATACTGCATCAGCATTCGCCTATTACTGATGGTAGAAGACAAGGATAACTGTCGAGCAGAGCAGCTGGTCGCCAAAACTCTCCTCCAGACTGTCACTGAATTCCATATAGAGTTGCAAATTGTGCCACTATGGGGACTCGAACCTAGGACCTTCCGGTCACAGCTCTGTAGGCACTGCAGTGACATCAATTAATGCACTGATCCACCTCTCTGGTGTTTAGATAACAATACACTACAGTCGATTGTGGCGATGATTTTGATTTCCGATTTTCAAATGTCGGGGTGATGCCGAGTTTGTTTTGCACCTGTGAGACAAGTGCAAAACAGGGTGCTTTTGTAACAATTGGAGGAATTAATTTTCAAAAATCTGCATTTTTGGATATTTGATTTACTGGCCAACGCCCAGATAGGAGAAGTGAAGACTAAGAGTAGACGGATGATTGATTTGTACATGTGATTAGCAACATTAAGTCGTAAGGATGACGTTTTGAGAATGATATGTAATAGATGTACTCTACGGGGGCTAGATATACTATGAATGATATTTCATTTACTAGAGTCTTCTGTCAAATAGTGTACCAAAAATTTGATTATCTTGTTGTTTGGGAGTCACGTAATACTTTGTACTTAATATTTGAGAGGGGGTGGACTATTTGGTCGCTGAGCAGGAAGAAATCGGCTTGGTTTTTTGAAGGCTTTATTTAGATGTGCCATTTCTTGATCCAGTTGGAGATACGGGAGAAGTGACATTGAAGTTCTTGAGAAAACGTCAGTATCAGAGTTTGTGTAACATAGTGGTCGTATGAACAGCACACAGTGCAGTAGCGGCGGCAATATAAAGGATAAATAATGTGGCGGAGAAGACAGATCCTCTCTGAATCTCTTCTCTTCTCTCTCTCTCTCTCTCTCTCTCTCTCTCTCTCTCTCTCTCTCTCTCTCCCTCTTCTTCTCTTTCTCTCCCGACGTGGGGCACTCATGCTATTATGAGAAAGATGACAAAATAACTCTAGCAAGGAGTGATATGCAAGGAACCTTTTGATAATATGGGTAAGATAATGGATAGCTTCGATGTACGATTGTGTGAGAGTTCTCAGAGGTTGTGAAAAGCATTCGTTGCGTCGACGAAGATTTGTACTGGTGTTTCTATTCATAAAATCATTCGATAATATCTTCGGTTTTCTTAACCCTTCAGATGTCGCGCTCGGTACATTTACGGTCGATTTAGTAGTATTGCTGTTTTTCTTACAATAGTTCATTCAAATCTGCCCATCAAAGCAAACAGAGTGTGTGATGAGGAATTCTTAGATTGTAAAATTAAGCTCCTCAAGGGCACATTTTGAGCTAACGGATACAGTTCTAACGTTGGCAATAAAGCTGTACGTGAGGCAGCGACCACCTCTGGCACTTGGGACTTTGCCAACCGCAAGAGGATCACCCTACATACGAGAGATCACTGACAAAATGGAAATATTTTAAGCAGATTCGAATTAAAGATGGACTACAAATTCAATAAAAAGCACGGGCGAAATCTATTCGTGTTAAAAACCGCGTCCTACCTCTTCTTCTCCAGTAATATATCTCATGACACCACTGTTTCATTAACGAGACTTTCACTGTGTTATCGAGGCGAACTCTTGCAAAACGCCTCCACGATCACTTTTGCCACTGCAAGTACAAAAAAAACAATAAATCGGCAGTAGCCCTCCACGCATGATTCAGTCCATACCGTTCTTTTCAATAACAGCCGCCTCCTTCCCAGAGAAGAGCGCAGGGGGCCGTGGAAGGTAAAAGTCTCTGGAAATTCTCAAACAACCCCTAACCCTCTAATGCCGACCAAGGCATATAGGCCTGGAGACATCTATTGTCCTCTGCTCCTGGACGTCTCGCCACGGGTGGATCGCCTTCCGCGACGCGGCCCAGAGCACTCGACGCCTGTGTGGACGATGCTTTCGCAGCATTGACCGATCGCCCGACCAACCAGCTTATGGCCAGTGGTGGCGGGACACCTTGCTCTATATTAACGCAGTCCATCCAGGGTCACACAGCAACGGACAGCAACAATGAAGCTCGTGTGGATCGCAGTTTGAATGGAAATTGAATTAAAATGAATTAAAACTAAAATTAATAGAATGTTCATTTGTAGATCACAGTTTACAAGGAATTAGTGGATTACAGTGTCGGAAACTATTCTTTGAAGCCTTCAGCATCACAATTTGAGTTTTTAATACCCTAGAACGCTTTATTTGTGAGTATTTAACAATAGTTAAAAATTGTCCCGTGTGTTGGGGAATGCATTTAGTATAAATATTGGGTTCTTTTCTATTTTGTGAATATTTTCGATATTTTAATAGCTATTCTGCTATTTCGGACGGCGATAAATCCAAAAAATTATAGATAATTAAGATTCGTCTAGCCATTTTTGAGTTATAAATGGTGAACACAACAAGCGAGATAATACTTCCCAATATAAAAGGAAACGTTACATGTAAATATGTAACTTTTCCTAGTATATTGGGAAGTGTCATCTCGCTTTAGCCGTCAGGAGTAATCTTCTAACATAGCGCGTCCCAACGACCATAAAAAACCATTCTTCCATTTACGTTCTTGATGAACTGCTCTCCTTAAACATCACTTACAGATTCAAGATTTGAAGGGAAGAAATAAAAGTGGGAATTAACAAAATAAATTTTAATGCCATACGGCAATCTTTTTATATGTATTAAACAAAGACTTTCTGAAAACGAGCCTTTTCGGCTCTGTGATTACTTAAAAATACCTTTATCACAGCGGGAAACTATGTTCAGATTCATAGTTCTTTGTCATTTAGTTTTTTATCATTTGTTGTTTTTTCATTAAAAGACGTATTTGTGAAACGATAAAAATCGATAATAATAATAATAATGATAATAATATGAATAGATTACTAATAGTAATAATGAATATTGTTACTATTATTTTTTTAAGGTCCAATAAATTATAATGTGATTGACTTTTCGTAGCTACGGGATGATGAACAGCGAATCAGAAGCATTATTATTTACATTGTTGTTACCTAAAATTATTGAATAAAGTTTACGAACAAATAAATATCACAAATGTTAGGAACAAACTTGTTCCCAGTTTCTCAACATTCCTTCCTTCTGTTTGCCTAGTTAGTATTGAGAGCAGGTGGTGGAGCGCGCAGAATGCGGCAACGCCGCCCCTTCCACATCTAAATGTTCAACACAATCTAATTATTTTCGTAGTATAGTGTACATTATTATCCATTAAATTGCAACAAACAGTGTTCATTCAAACTCTTCCATTTTCAGTCAGTAGAAATGAATGTATGATGTTCACAAGTTAGAAGTATATTATAGGTTCCTTTACCAGCAACACTTGGTGTTTGTCAACTGGTGGAGAAATGCCGTCAGGGCACGCCACTTCGCGAATGCCGCTCGGACAAAAGGGGCGAGATGCAGAGCGAGCAAAAGGGAGAGGTAGGAGAGAATGATAGACAGCCATGGCAGTGGGCCATTACCTGTGGTTAAGGCAACATGAGAGCCCAATTAATTTTCTTTCGATTAGCATTTAGAGTGTTCAAAAGAACTGCATTGTGATAAAAATTTCAACCTGCGGAGGTATTACGCAGGTTTCCAACCCAGACAAATATGAGAGATGAAAATAAATTCTGAGGATTCACATAAAGAATTTTGCAGATAGATTGTGGAAAAGGGTATGAAAATTACGAGGATAGAACATTCTCAAACAAAACTGTATACGAAGTAATCAAGCCATGAGACTAAATTCTCACACGTGACCCCTTCCGGTATCTATTTGTATCTGTTTGTTAACATTAATTATTGGTTCGAGACGAACTATAATTGTTATATTATATAACATTGTACAAAATAATTATTGTACTATAATGTTAAAACTGTCTTCTTCAAAAAATGTTATTTATTTAGAGAATGGAAGTGGAATTACAGGTACTGAGGCGGATATTGCTTTGATTTATGCAATAATCTGTGTTCTATATTAAATGAATCATAATTATTTAAATAATATTTCCCGTTTAAAAACATAATTATAGGCGAACGTTTTCACCCACAGTTTGTCCGTGCCATCATTGAAACACTGGGCACTTGCCTTGCTTCGGCTCGGCACAGAGCAGAAGAGCAGATTTTTAGGGCGTCACAGTGCACGGAGTTGGCAAGCACTGGCCAGTACAATCGTATTCAAATGAAAAATTTCTTCACCTCGGTTTTGTTA